ACCAATAGTGAAGTGGATGAAGCGGATCAAGCGGACCAAGCGGATAACCGCTTCACGACTGATCGATTCAGTGAATCGATCAATGACGAAGCGGATCAAGCGGATCAAGTATGGCGGATGCATTAACGAAATGCCCTATCATCCGTACATTCAGGAACTCTTTATGATGAGTTATGAACAACTAGAGTATTGCCAAACCGTGTCGCGAATAAAATCGCGTGAAGTATGCCCAGGTAGAGTGAGAAGTTCAAAAAGTTACCCATCAAGACTGTCTCAGAAAGAAAATGAATCTAACAGGATAGCCCCTGTACATCTCACCTCTCGCATATTCAAAATGTATGCGTAGCGCAATGCACAGTGCACGCACTGATCCAAAGCACGATACTTTCTGAAAAACATTTCCATTGCTGACTGGGTTCTAGACAGAAACTACAAGACTCATACATCAGGTCTATCGAATCTTTCCACCGTCCGGAAGATATTGTTCCACTCATCAAGGGCAGACAAAGCCTCAGTCGGTGACACCTAAGTAATCAAAAACTTATCAATTAAAACACCTCTTCTTCTAGCTATATCAGATAAATACAACTGCAAAAAAGTCAACTCCTCTCATATAGGTAGAAATTCAAAAAGTTTACCTCTTCGTCCTTCTTTTTCCTCAAGAAGAATCGTGTAATTTCAGCCAGAACTCTATGATGGGGAAGATTCTAAAAGCGTTTTTTTCTTCAAGTGTTTTGGTTAAATTAGCAAAAGCCTAGACAGACAACTACTACCTGAACCAAACAGAGTAACATCCTAAGCAAAACAACTAGCTTCCGCGGACTTTGCTGCACAAATGGAACTTCATTCGAGTTTGAAAGGAAAGCAGAAAGCTGTTCAACGTAGTGAGATCGGAGAAAATTCTTTTCTTTCTTCTTCTTCTTGTCTTTCGCAGCCTCACCGCCTTCAGTTAGTGATGAGCTGGCTTTCTCATCGCGAGCCCAGCGTTCAAACTAAAACTCAGTTTTCTCACATTCAAAACTGTTCTGTTTTATTTCAATACTCACTATCTTCAGAGCGTATGCAGCAATGATCAAATCAAAGTCTTTGATATCAACAACGCTCTGATAATCCTTAGCAATGCTTCTGACAAAATCACGCATGTGAGCCACACATACACCAGTAGGGCGATCGCGGTAAAGGTACTCAAGCTGGGACGCTTTGCTGAAAACAAAAAAAAACTTCAGTAATGATACAGGCAAGCACATTAATACCATGGGAATATCAAACATACGTTTCCAACAGATATACGATGTATTTCAGATCTGGAAGAAGATGGATGGCGGCACGTAGCATATTCAGAACCATTTCTTGAGCTCCAGGTGAAGGAATGGGATATAGCTTTCTAACAGAAGGCAACAAATTCCACTCTTCCAGTAGTCGAAAAGTAGGCAACCGGGGAAGCGGCTAAAGTGATAAATTGCGCCTATTAATTCAACTTGTGCAAAAAAGCCAAAACTAAACAAACGGACCATATCTGGAGTGCTCCACCACTCCGTGCCACAACGCGCCCCAAGTACGTGGAGAAGGGAAAGCACAAAGATAGGATTATTGCTCTTGAGAATCCTAAGATCTCCATATCCAACCTCCTTCATTGCATGAATCGAATCTATCTGAAGCCAGATAATTTAGAAAAATTTCATGGTCAGTGCTGGTTAGGCCTAAACTATCTATTATTCTATAGAATGCCTCCGGAACACTAGTGAAAAAGAAGGGTTCGGCTGAGGCAGATGTATTTTTAGCAGTCTTCAAAAAATAGTAACACCGGATGATGTGAATGATTGCCCGCACGTGCTAGTACGAAGGCAAAATCTGAACCAATAGGTCTTTTCAGAATCTACAAAGATAGCGTCCCCAATCGCTAAAGTTGTCGAAGGTGGCGGTGAGAGCTGTAATCTAGTTTGGACTATCCATCTTGGCTATGCTTTTCACCTAGTCACCTATTCCCTGAATTCCTCTAAAACCGCAAAGTTCAGTAACGGCGACACCCACACGTGCGCGGTGCTGACAAGGTTCCACCGATGTATAAAAAATATAAGATGTGTGATGATTAGCTTATAAACTGAAGATATTCCGCCAGAAAATCAAGAAAAAAGCCTACACTTCTTCTTAGCGAAGACACAGAACGATGCCAAAGGTTGAAGCTCCATGATAATAACATTATTACCAACAAGTATACTTACACCTGCGAGTGAACCAGAAAGTGCTCTTCTGGGACGACTTTCGATGCATTCCAGTTCGCGTTCCATCTCTACCCAGCTGACAATCAGATCGTCTTCAGATGCTGCTATTCTGCAAACGACAAATGTTCGAAATATTTCGCGGGCCCTTCAGATCTACCTCTGCTCGAGTTCTTGAGTTTTTTGCTCTTGCAATGCTCGCGCAACCACCTCCAACCTGTCCGCTTCCTGCGCCTCGTGATTTTCAAGAAAGCTAAACCAACCTGAATAGAAACCTTTTCAACACAAAACAAATAAGCAGCAGACTTACCTTTAGCTCCTTCATCACCAAAGCGAGGAACACCACTGTTCCAAAATGCTGCAAATGCCTCTTCTTTCTTATCCTCTGAAGCATGGCGCAAAGTCTCCGGCACTTGGAAGTTGTATTCGAAAGTGGCCTAGAACACGGACACTAAAAACTCCATAGGCATAAAAAACGTTTGTATGTAGCAATGAACAAACATGTCCCTAGGCCACTAGCTCTGCCCGAACGACTTCTTCCAAGCATACTTACGTTGCACATGTAACCCCTGTATCACACAGCGTGTACAGAATGCGCACATCGATAATATCTCACGTGCTCTAATGCCTTGCGACGCTTTCAAGGTAGCATACTGCAGAGCTGGTTTAGCTTGGTTTAGAGTAGACAAAGCGAACTGCCGACCCTTCTAGGAGGATTACGAGAGGAACTAACAGCACAAAAACCAAAAATTCTCTAAAAAATCTGAAAAACGGTGTAGCTTTTTCACTCATGCAGATTTCACTATACAACATTATCACAACAATTTACAAGTCCTTTGAAGACAGCGTCCAGGCAGATGCCCGAGCTCGAGGACCACGCCCCCTTCCTCGCACGCCCCGCCTCCTTGAACGAAACCTCCCTGCCTTGACGTGTTT